CATTAAAACAAAAAACAATAACAAAGAGCAGATAAAGTCCTGTTAGATTTTTACCTTTTTATTTTTTTCCTTTCATTTTGTTTTGAAATGTTTTTACCGCAATTATCAAAAACCATTAGATGGGCTCGGTTTAGTGAATGCATCACAGAAGGGAAAATCAGTTCTGTGGGGAACTGGTGTTCCATCTCTGGAAAAGGGCTTGCTGTCAACAACTTCCTATCTATCACAAAGAGAGCAACGCTGATCATGCAATTAACACTGCAAATGAACCAGCAAGCAATCAGTCAGTGATATCTCTCCAGAACATGCAATATTCACTGAGGACACCTTTACAGAGAAAAATCATTGAGCCGTATAGCTTGGTCAGGAAATGCATTAATTTATGTGGATATGAGCTTTGTCTCTATATGTATGGAGTTTCAGTGGTAGCAGAATCACACACCTTGTTCTCTCAGACTTGATATGCAGTGCCAGATGGTACATGCACATTCCAACGTGATTAATAAGTTCCTATAAAATGATCAAACCACATATTTTCCACATAACTTGTTGAGGTATCAACGCAATTCCCTTGGGAAATTGTTCTTACCAGTCTCTGCAGTTCCCAGTGAAATATTAGGAATAATAATAAAAAAAAATCTGTTAGCTATAGGTACCATTTTCAAGCCTTTAAATCCTTTAACCAAAAGAGAAGCTGCTGTCAAACCAACAGCGGTTGGTGACAATGGAAAGACTCCACAAAACAGAAAATTTCTGAACATTGTTGTCTACAGGAATTTGTCCATATATAACTCTATATATCTTTATTCGGGTTGTTGGAAGAATGAAAAAAAAAATCAACTCAGCCTCAAACCTTCCAAATCAGAATATTCTGTGATACTGTGGCAACAAAGAAAAGAAATAAATAAAACACTTAAGATCAAATAAACTTTTGTGTGTCGTCTGTGGTTTAATCTCTTCAGATATTTTCAATAAAGAATTGCACTCACAGAGAGCTGACATAATAAAATACTTGAAAAACTTCTTCCAGGAGAACAGAAAAAGTTGGAAATGGGTCTCCTGTCTCAGCAAAAAGGATAGTATACTCTGCTACCAGTGAAAGGCAGACAGAGCAGCAGCATGATTCCTTGAATTTTTGAGAATTATGTCCTTATTCCTGAACATTTATATTTTGCTATGTTTATTCTTAATCCTAAGTTAATGTGTGCTTTTGACCAGAAAAAGAAATAAAAAATGTTCAGTAGATAAAAAAAAAATCTATATACTGTTTGGGCCTCACTCTTCTAATTCAATAGTATAAAAATTACATTAGAAATTGTTTTTAGGGCACAATTTCTGCTGAAATATAGCTTTATTAATTATACTAAAGAATATTTTAATTTTAAAAAATCAAACACATCCAGTTTCAGATGGTATTGTTTTGGTTTTCTGTATCATGTGCTCCAGTTTTGATTTAGGCTGGTTCTCATCCTACTTAAAACAAGTAAGGCATGAAGAATGCGTTTTATCCATTGATTTTGTGCTTTTTCTGCTTTTGAATCTTTACAGTTCTTGAGGCCTTCGAGAAGTTTCCAGTATTTCATTTCAGAGTTTCTATGTTTCAAATAACATTTTTTGCTATTAGTAATTAATCCTAAATTATAATTTGCTTAGATACATAAATTCCCATTTATTACTTTATATTTATTAAAAGGAGGTAGTACCTCTGGTCAAAGTGGAATTTCCTGGCACTTTCTGCTCTGTGACATCCCTTTCACATCTCACACATAACCTGGAACCACCTACACTTTTTTCACAGATGCACCACCCCTTTAATTGATCATAACTCAAGCTTTCTCCTGCAGGGGAGGTGAGAATTCCCAGAACACTTCTGAGCAACATCTCTTTCTGTTTCACTCCTCTCCTGCAGTAATGGTCCACCGTCAAAAGTGAGCCATCTATTTAGAAAAAACACTTCTTACAAAGTACCAAATTACTTCAGCAAAAAAGGGTGATTTAAAATCTTCAAGAAGGTCAACTGGCGGAGCTTTCTTTTGTTGGGCTGCTGTCCTTCCTTAGGTTCCCCTCCCTTGCACGAGGGCCAGTTGTTGGCTGACTCCTCTCCTAGGAAAAGCTGCAGGATATCTTCTCTATCATCTTGTTCCCAGCCAGCAGAACAGCTGAGTCCTGTGGCTTGGACATATGCCACTGCCCTGCAATTGCCTCCCTGAGGTTTGTTGTGTGGTTTCTTATCTATACTGCTTTCAGGCTTGTTTTTCCCATTGCAGCCTATTAAGTCAGACCACATTTCACTCCAGAAAGTCTATAAACCAATACACTGTTCACTTCCCTGAAAAGGTCAAGAGAAGGCTTTCTATGACTAGTACTGTTCAGTATTCTTGTATGGTGGTGTATCATCTGAGTCTGTTGTATGTAGACAAACAACTACATACTAAACTTCAGCAGTTTTAGTACTTAATAATATTTAATGGTTGCTTGAAATAATTATTTATGACATTTAAACTGATTTCACTATTATTTTTATAAACATCAAAAATAAATGTTAGGCATTGAGACATCTTTTTGTTTAAGGAGAGAAGATAAACACTGATAAAAAATCTCTTTCTAGCAAAATGTTGCCAAATTAGCAGAAGACTTGTTTTCATCTTCAAAAGTTATAAATAAATAATTAAAAAAATCCTTAAATAGCTGGTACTTTTGTAGATGAAGATATTTTGTGTGGTGGACTAGATAAAAGGCAGATGTCTTCATAATTCTTTTGATAATGATAAATTTTATCAATGTACCATTGGCAATATAAAACTGCTGTCAAAAATAAAGCCAAGTGTCTTCACCTCTTACAGATCTAATCACTTCACAATTAAAACTGTTGATACTCTAAGTTTGTTTCTCTGTTTGTTTTTACATCTTTATTTTCAGAATGTTCTCTCATTCTAATATAATTTCACTCAGTTTTAGGGTTCAGTGAACACATTTTCTTTGCATAGGACTGTGCAGCAATGCCTTTCTTTCTTTTCCTAAATGATGTGATTCAGTTTCCCAGATCAGTGGGAAGGCTGTATATGGTGAAGACTGTAATGGAATTTTTTTTTTCTTTTTAATTTGGATTGCTTCTGCATCTTTCATAATGTTTCTGCTTTCTTAGAAAAAGATCAATAGCATAGTAATCTGAGGCAGATGGCTTTGCTGCTTCTCAAGGTACACCACCTCTTCAAACCAAGAAGAGGCAGGGAAAGACTCAAACTCCAAGTCTCTGATCACTCTAACTCTTAGCTTGCTCCCCTGGATCTTGCTTTGGTTCAGAGGATGGTTCACTCGCTCCAAAGTTCACTTGTTTTTTCTCCCTCCACCTTACACAGCCTCCCCAGCCTACCTCTGAAGGCTTTGGTGAGCCTACCTGTCTTCTTTTCGGAGGGGAGCAGATCCATCCTGTCTGGCCTCAGTGGCACTGAGCAATGCCTGTGCCTCGTTTGCTGTCACTGCACAGAAAGGCTCTCAGGGTTAAGGCTGCAGCCATCCTGGTTTGCTCTTCTAATGCTTCACTAGACACCAGTAACTGGAAGGGCTGTTTATACAACCCTGACTTGCAAATATTTACTTTATAGAGATTATTAACGACCATTGACAACGCAGTCAATATGACTATTTGCAGAAATGAGTGCTGTTCAGCAACAGCTCCACAGAATTACAGCCACAGATCTGAAAACAGCAACAGCTCCCATACATTGCTGGACAAAAGGTAAATGTCTTTGAAATCATCATGACAAGAGCAATTTTAGTGACAGTGTAGGAAATCAATCAAAAATACTGCAAATTCTAATCAAATGCTAATGAAAACTATCCTGTGAGGACATTCTCAGGTAATAACATTTGAATGTAAAATCTTGGCTGAAACTTGTACGAAAAACTGAGCAAAACTTTCTATTTTTCAAAGCAAATCTCTCCAAGATACATGATTAATTCACCTAGTCATAGTGCAAAATCCATTCTAGAAAACTGTGATTGCAGGTTTTTGCCTGCTAAAACATTGGTTCTTGCCACAGTAATAAGTCAAAACGTGATTAATGACTTCTTCTTTCCTATGAATTTAATCTCTTTTGTGCTCTCTGTTCAAAAGGAAAAAAAATGAAGGGTTTATATCCGTAGTTTTGGCAAACTCATAGCAGTGCAGATGCCAGCAAAAGACATTTCCTTTTCTTTACTCAACTTCAGCACTGTCACTGAAAGATAGTCTGATGAAATTCTGAATCATTGCTCTAAATGAATGTCAAGATTTTTCTCTCCATGCATAAAATGAGCTATCAATTTTCCAAAATATTTCCCTTATAATATTTTGAATTTTTAGAGAAAAACATATTAATATTTGCTTTGGTCAATTGCTCTAATTTCTGAAAAATATCTACATTTCAGAGTTTATTCCAAATACTTAATATGCAGGATAAATCTTTTAACAACAGTATAGCCCTTACATTTCAAGACTGCAAGTAAATACATTCCCTTTGTGGGTAGACACCCCATGGGCCACAGAAGTCTTCAATTTTTCCCCCTCTGAGGAAAATGCAGAAAATACTGATTAGAGGTGATGCAATAGCATACTTGTGAGGAATAGGGCATAATTATGGAATAGTGAAAATATTTATTACCTATAGAGAGAAGTTTTTCAAAAGGTAGATTCTTCATTCAGCATTCACAATGGGGAGCTGGATTTTATGTGAAGCATTGACATAAAAAATATCTCCCAACAGCTGTGAGACAAAAGTTAGAACTAGCTTAAACATGAGCAGCAAACAAAACTTGCCAACTTGATACCTTTGTATCACTTTACTACATTATCTTTTATACACATCATTATATAGTATGTATTTCCATTTCTGTTCAGCCCAGTTTCTCTGCTGCAGCAAGATTTTAAATACAAAGAAAGGACAGAACTGTTAATGATCACAGAATATTCTGAGCTGGAAGGGACCCACAAGGATCACTGAGTCCAACTCTAAAGTGAACGGCTTATAAGGGGATAGTACCCCCAACCTTGGCTTTATTAGCACCATGCTCTGACCAGCTGAGCTAATCTCAGGTTTTGTAGAGCCTCCATTTAGATTAGGGATCAGAGATGTATTGTAACATTCCATACTGAGAAAAATTTTTGCATTTTAAAGTGGTCCCGCTAGCAAGAAATAACATGGCGTCATCAATTTGCATATTTTAACACTGATGTACTATGACTTGCTATGATATATTAGTCTGCCCTTTAAAGATATTTTTAATATAGCTTTTATTATTTCAGGCTTTTAAATTTTTTAATGTGTCACTTATGGAAGGATTATTGAACCTAAGACTTCTTTATACTAAGCAGAGACAGAGCTTTACACATGCCTGAGTTGTGCCTCTGAAGTCAGACTTCTGTTCTGAAAACCTTTATTCATGCAGAAACTACTAAATGGTTTTATTTCCTCTTTTTTTTTTTCTTTAAAATGAAGAAAGGACCCAGCCTGATTAGATGACCATAACAGTTTAATAAGCACATAAAACAGCCTGTCTAATATTATCTCTTCTTATTCCGTGAATTATGAGTGTTAGGAAAAAATATACTCGGTGAGATTTCCTTTATTTAATGTTAACATCTTTAGGAGTCATCATCTACTGCAACCAGTTACCACATTTGTAAGATGCAATGCTGAGTTATGAAACACATAAAGAAAGATAATGACCCCAGCTTGCTGAGGGAAAGACTGGCAGCTGAGTTCTCTGCCTGGGAAGGCTGGATCTGAATAACCTCAGGAGCAGTAAAGTGGATGCCACCTCATGATCCAAACATCATGATGATGAACTGCTGCTAAAGCCAACTAGCCACCGCTCCCACCAGCACACAGATGCTCTTCAAACACCTGATTTTGTGTTTGACAGGAAAACAGGGCCTGTGTTGTGTTTGTGCAGTGGCTGAGGTTGTTCAGAAACATTGCATAAACTTTGCAACCAGGAAAGGCATAAAACTGCCTGGGCTGCAGACCTTGACATGCACAGGAGCAGAATTGCTAAGGCGCAAGGAAAATAAGGAGGTGATGTGTGACACTAACATGGCTTCACTAAGAGCAAACTGTGCTTGGAGGATTTGATGGCTGCCTAAAACTGGAGTATTGTGTTGGTGGAAAAGGGAAGAACATCTCTCCTATAGACTGAGAGACTTGGGGTTATTCAGCCTGGAGAAAAGAAGGCTCTGTGAATACCTTCTATTGACCTTCCAGTACCTCAAAGGGGCCTACAAGAGACTGGAGAGGGAGGGATGTTTTGCAAGGTGTGTAGTGATAGGACAATGGGGAGCAGGTTTGAACTAAAAGAGAGTAAGTTTAGATTAGACATTCTTCGCTATGAGGTGGTGAGGCACTGGCACAGGTTTCCCAGAGAAGCTGTGGATGGTCCATGGAGTCCATGTGGAGTCTCCAGGCCAGACTCGATGGGGCTTTGAGAAACATGGTCTATTGGAAGGTGTCCCTGACCATGGCAGGAGTTTGGAATTAGGCAATCTTTAAAGTCCCTTCCAACCCAAACCATTCAGTGAATCTGCAATCCTATTCTATTCATGGAAAGTGCATCTGCTTTTTCATTTCAAAGTACAGGTTGCACATTAGATTTAAAACAGCAATCCACAAATACACTTCCTGTTTGAAGAAGGAGGGTTTAGTAAAAGGTACTTGACAAAGATGAAGGCACACAAGCTGCCACCATTTAAAAAAGATTGAATGCATATTCAGCTGTCACTGAAGTGCCTTGGTGAGAGGCACTCCAGCTTCTCCTGTCTGGGATAATACAAGTGTTAACATCTCTCTAGGTATATGACTCAGCTGTGCACTATGCACCTTCTCTGGCTTCTCTGTGAGAGAATGACAGGCATGAGCCTCAAGAAAGAACCAGAAGTCACTTTGAAGAAGTGAAAGCTTGGACAGGCAAGAGGCGAGAGCCTCAGACCTGCACAGCCTTCACAAAAAAAAGTGCAGTTGTCTTGGTGCAGTTTTAAATTCTGAGCTGAAGGAGGTTACCCACTAGTGAAGATGAGTTTATAACTATTTAATCCAAACAAGATACAGAGAAACCAAAGTATTGATCCTGAAACACGTTTTTAAAAATTGAATGTTTTCAGCTTTCGGGAGAAACCAGTAGTAATATTCTATAGTAAAGATAATTTTAAAAAGTGTTTGTCCACATAAGTGAAACCAAGGGTTTCTGTTTAATTCCAGATTGGCAAGCACCTTCAAAGCACATAACCTGAACCAAATAACATTGGTTAAGGACACAGTTTGTCCTTGACCTGGGTAATTTCATCTTCTAATTTGTAAATTACCCACAATTTTTGCATATATTCAAGGAGGCCTAATATAGAAATAACCTATTTTTTTTCTAAATGCCACTTCCTAAGTACTGGGAATTAACTATCTTTTAAGTTATTTATAACATATATAGAGAAAATTTTCTTCTTATTTGTGGAGGTTAGCGTCTGTTGTGGTTCCCCTAAAAACCACATTCCTTCAAAGGAAATGTGAAAATTATTCCATAATTTAAAATTTATAACTTATAAATTAATTTGCATTTAATATATATTTTTAAACAAGTTTGAAATAATCGATCTTAAATTATTCATTTAGAAAGGAATTCAAATCTCTTCAAAAAAGGAATACTAAATCTTTTTTTTTCTTAAGAAATTGTTTCATGTTAAGTAGTATTTCTATATCAGCTCACTGGGTGATATTTGAAAATAAAAAGTGCAATCAGCCACATTCCAGAGTTAAAGAAAAACCAAGTGAAATCTGTTATTATTGTGTCAATAATTCATAAGACATCTCAGGACATTGCTTCTATCTCTTAAGCCATGGCTCTTCCAGTGAGGGATGATTTCAATTAAGCCATAAGAATTTAATATGGTCAATGAGAGCTAAATTTCCAGTCTTTTCCCATCCAGATTTTATACTTATCAGTGCTTCATAGTTAAATGTAGAAGAACCTATAATCCATAGGACAGTAGGAGACAGCTCTCAGTGTAAGTAAGACACATAATGAATGACGATGTGCATTGCATCCGTGCCCTTCATGAAAACCCAGCGAATTTGTGTTTTCCCCTGGTCTTTGGCAATAGGATATTCTGCAGTGATTTCTCAGAGGTCCCAAGTTATCAGGCATTAGTGAACCTGTTCATGTTTCTGGCCACTCTGTGATTTAGCTTTGTAGTTGCTATGGTTTTACTAGATAAGCAGACTATCAGTTTCAGATATCAGACTACCCAGAGAGGTATAAACATACCTGCAATAAATGAGATTAGTAAGGAAGTTGTGGCTGGTCTGACATAAGTCCTTGAGGTACTTCTATGCCATCACACAGCAGAATTTATTTTGTATGATTCACGATGCTAGAATCACAAAAATGAAGTGTGATTCCTGCCATTCAGGGTAAGAAAGAGCAAGAGGGAATTTTTTTAACTCAAAACACATAGAAAGGTTTCTTAGGTACATGAAATTCTGGCCTAAGTTCTCAAGGACTTTTGAAAAAGATATAATAAAAAAAATTCTGTTTTTTATGTTTCATGCCACCTAGAGGATTTTCAATATTAAATAGAATTGGAAAAGCATAGGAAAGTGAATAAAAAAACCCAAAGCACAATACAATAAAAAAACTGGGAAATCATTTTAGATCACTATGCATTTTCAGAGCTCAGCATCAAGGGAAGAGAACATAACGTAAACAAGTTTCACAGCAACAACAGTAAATTCAATTGCTGACCTAACAAAAAGACATGTCCTGTAAAGGCTGATGACATCTGAATGCAACCATGTTAAGAAATGTCTCAAAAATTATTTTGAATGTAGCCAGTGCACTTCAAAAATATTCTTACTCCTTTTCAAGTCAGGAAAGTGCCAGCAACTGGTAGATGGATAGTCTATTAAGGGATTTGCAGACTTGCTGTAAGAATGTCTCTAAGACAAACCTTTTTTTTTGCCTAAGGAGGTAAAAAATACATAAAGATGTTAGGGACCCTGGTATAGTTGAGTGTCTGGAATAGTTAACTTTTTTGAACTGGAAGATGAGACAATACAGACAAAATTTTTAATACCACTTAACATTTTTCAGTAGAGCCATTCACTCACATTTCCTATTCTCCATTAGAACCACAGACCATAATGGCTTTGTCTGCATTAATGTCTTAAATTGTGCCCAGGAATGTTCCCAGACACTGTCAGATGTTCATCTATACTGTCAAGTGTCTAAAATGTCTCCTGGTGTGATTTTGGCACATGCACCACTCTTCCTAATAATTCCCAAGCATGATACCCAAGTAGAGAGTGCTGCAGATGCCTTTCCCAGAGGATCTTTTGCATGTGGTATCTCAGTTTTTGGACACTAGGAAAATCAACAAAAGCTCTATCAGCTGGCTGTGGTGCTTGGGATGCACATGTAATTTGCTTGTACAAACAAAGTTGTGTCAGCCACTGAAAGTTATGGGACAGGTTGCCTTGCACTATCACTGGTGCAAAGCAGAAATAAAAACAGAAAAGATACTTATATTTTTACTTATATTTAAACTGGTAAAAGTGAGAAGAAAGTGAAGTCTGAAATTCAAATAATGATACCTAATAATGTTTCAAATTACTTTGTTTTCCAGCAATTACACATGGTATGTCTGTTATTTGACAGCAGCATGAGAAGGAGTAATGAGCTAAGAAACCAAGTATGCAGATAGTTTTCATTAATACAATTAACTGGGGAAGAACACAAAATTACATATATAATGAATATTATTGTTGCTGTTATTGCATATGCCACATACATATTCATATATAATAGTTTGACTCAGAAGTAAAACCTCATCTTTGTCATTTGAGGAATTCTTGATAGGAAGGTGAACTCATTTAGAGACAAATTATCCCTACAAGTTAATCTGAGTATTGTCTAGAAACAGAAAACAAACCAAACATTAGATGAACAGAACATAAAGAAAAATACTGGTGGTTCAGAAAAGAAACCATGAGAAAAAAGAAGATAACCTTGGCATGGGCCTTATTGTTGTCTTCCACAACAAGTTAAAT